CAATCGCCGGACAGATATGTCGCTGAGGCGACGTTTTCATGGGCAGAATCCAGTTGTTGATCTCACACTCGGTGTCCGCGAGTTGGACCATTTCCGGAAGATCTGATACCAGGTATTCGGGGCGCTCAGGCGCTGCAGACAAATGAATCTGAACTGTAAATTGGACCAATGCTTCTCAACTGCTTCTTGGAATGTTTGCATGAGTCAAGCTATGCTGGGGGCATTGGAAGGAATCCCATCCCGTGTTTATATTAAACACCCTCATTCTATGGTCCCCCCTATTAATGGGGTTTCATCCCCTGCATCCACCAAGCTTTCTTGGGCCTGTCTCATAGAAATGGAGGGATTATGATCGTTACTGACCCACCGAAACTCCGTGTCCATGTCAAGAACTAGATTCCAAAAATCAAAATGAATGGTCGATTTAAGAGCATAATCATTCGAGGCCAAAGACATGTTCTTCAAACCAATTGGAATCAAACAAAAAAGGCTTGGACGATTTAACTTGCTGTTTCCCTGGCTTTCAGGTTGGGGGAGCCGAGACATGATGCCCAGTTATTTTGGGAGGTCATTGAATTTCAGTTACTCCGAGGAAGATGGAATCCAAATACATCCTAGGTGTCTGGATCCACAGGGCATTTAAACGCTATCCTACGATCAAACATACTCTTTGGTTCACTCCGAAAAATCGCAGATGTGGCTTAGAACCTCGCTTATAAATGGACATTGCCCCCTACTTATCCTACTTATAACAGGGGTTGTAAGCCTAATCGTGTTCTATCAAGACTCCATAGGTTGGTGCTATGCCTAACCTTCCTGAACAGCAAACTTGACCGAGTACCCCGGGTTTGACCAATTCCCTTTACCAGTGTGAAACAATCGGAAGGATTAATAAGGATAACGGATAACGCGATGGTTTACCCCTTCAACAAGACAAAATCCAGTGGTGCAATTTTCACATACCCAGCTTTTGTTGGTAATCCCAACTCATGGGTAATGAATATATACCACATAATCCCCACGTTTGTCGGTCAAAGCACATACTTGAGCATCTCCATTCTATCGCTTCATTGCACTTTCTCTGGATACATCCCATTTATACACATGGTCCTAGAGTAAGCACAAGAGAATATTTTATCATCAGGTCTGAATTCTGAATATCTACTTGGGTTTGTCTTGAAATGGGGGATGCCCCAAAATGACCGCAGTGAAACGTGGATTCCAGTGCGATGACGTCATCCATGAAGCGCACATCATCACATTACAAGTGGTTCATGCCCCTGTTCTTGATGGTGAAATCCCCAACATTCCCACTATGCTCCACTTAGAAGTGGATATGTATATATATATATATATACCTATTAAAAACACTAATATATATATATATATATATATATGAGCCAGGACGCCAAGCCCAATCCCCACCCGCGCCACCCATGGTCCCCCCCCCCTGTGGCCTGGGCTGGTGGTATGGTCATCTGGTCCCCCCCCCCCCTGTGGCCTGTGGTGGTGGTGGTATGGTTCTTCTGGTCCCCCCCCCTGTGGCCTGTGGTGGTGGTATGTTGGAATGTTGGTATGGTATGTTGGTATGTTCGTATGTTGGTATGTTGGTATGTTGGTATGTATGTATGTATGTATGTAGGTAGGTAGGTAGGTAGATAGGTATGTATGTATGTATGTATGCATGTATGTACGTATGTACGTAGGTAGGTAGGTAGGTAGGTAGGTAGGTAGGTAGGTAGGTATGTCTGTGTGTGTGTATGTATGTATGTATGTATGTATGTATTTATGTATGTATGTATGTATGTATGTTTTTTAATGTATGTATGTATGTATGTATGTATGTATGTATGTATGTATGTATGTATGTATGTATGTATGTATGCATCCATGCATGCATGCATGCATGTATGTATGTGTATGTGTGTGTGTATGTATGTATGTATATATGTATATATGGTCCCGTGTCCCGTGTTCCCGACAGCGTGAGCGTGAGCTTGGGGGACCATACCATTGGGGGGGGCCAGGGATCCGGAGTCCGGACTCATATATAACATCCTCAATTAAATGTGGGTTGTAAGCCGCAGAGCCATTTTCAGGCAATGGGATGGCCTGTGCGTCGATTCGTGTCCCTTGAGCCATGCAGCGGGCGTGGTCTCATGTTGTGGACCGCTGCAGGCAAGACAAACGCTCTATCACAAGTGGCTCCCCTGATCTATGTTACATTCACCCCCCCCATGCCCGGCTAAGCCATTCGCTGGGCACAGAAGCAATCGTCAGGGTTAAAAATAGCCACGTTTCGAATTAGTGCTGTGCTGTGCAAAATATAAGTGATTCTATGCGAACCGATCATTGACTTGGACATTGACTTAGGCATGGCTCAAGGGACACGAATCACCGCACTATCTCGCTGCAATAGAAAAGGAGTGGTCACTCTTTAATTTTTGACCATAGCCATATGCCAATTTTCAGGAAATGGAATTCTCCATGATTGCTTCAACCCCCATTTCTCATGATTAATAATATCCCTTAATGCAGTTGGTTCAATCCACATGTATTATCACTTGATCTTCCTCCCTTGGCCCCCGCATAAAATAACAGAACGATTGAACATGAAGTTATATATGATATTATAGTGATATATGGGATATCCCAATTAATTTTTTTGGGGGTTACACACCAGAGATCCCAGCCATTATCAATGGGATGGCCTTGATCTCCTTGGCTCCCGCACTTGTTGAAGACCTCGCCCGCGGCCCAGCCCTCGCCCCCCACGCCGTCGGCGCCGCTCTCAGCCGTGGCAACGGCATTGGGGCGGCCGGACCTCGGGGCTAAGTGAGGCTTGGCCCGGGGGAACCACGGGGAAAACATGGGAAGATTCACGACTTTCTGGGGATATCAGGCTGGGTCGAGCACACTGCTGGAGTTTCTCGAAGAGGTACTCCATAGTCACTCAAACAGCTCCTCATCCTTCTCTAGACGCATTGTGATTCAGTGCCACTTCTCTGACCCTCGGTCGTTCCCCCGTGAGATTTTTTGTGGGGAGATATCCTGAACATAAAGAATATGATATGCCGGTGTACCAAGGAAATATTTAAGCACTTGGTGAGGATAGAATTGGATATTGTGGGCATATCCAGAGACAAAAAAGAACGAATTCATTCTTTGTGGCCCTAGATGGGTTCTATATCCAAATTAGAGTCATAATTTCAGTGCACTGCAGAATTATCACCTACAATACAATCGGGTAATTTAAGAGTTTGCAAAGGTATAGATGGAGCATTTGTGATAAATGCTTTACAACCATTGAATTTATGGTGATTTTCCAATTCGCTATGTTAAATTGGCAGAGGGGGTTCACACCGCCCGAAAAGATGCCGAAGGATGTTACTTTCATCGCTGGGTTTCTTGGACTCTGCTCCAGTCTGCAGCAGGTGGGTTTCTTGGTTGATCACGGTTGATGATCATCTGGTTGGTGGTATACCTACCCCTCTGAAAAATATGAGTCCGTCAGTTGGGATGATTAATTATTCCCAATAGATGGAAAAATAATCAAATGTTCCAAACCACCAACCACTCATTTTCTCTATCAACACTGCCATTTTTGATCACATCCCTCTTTGGGACACACTCGAATAGATCCAGTCCATAACACCCTGATTTATAGGACTGGATCGATTCGGGTGTGTCCAAAAACAGGGGTGTCAGTCTATGAGATTGTGACTTGGGAGGAGTTTGTGATCCAGAAAAGCTGACATCAATGACATCAATGGTGGTACAGGACCCTATTTTGATCGGAAACTCTCAGGGTTCTTGATATTATTGGCTCAGATTGGGATCGCTTACTCCAAAAACCAACCTTTGCGGGTCAAGTCCCTATTGCCGCGCAGAGCGTGCCTATCCCCATCCCATTTTTCCAATGGTGAAACATCACCTTTTTGAAGTCACTGAGGCCCCTCACGGGTAGCCACCAATCGCTAAAGGTCCACTGGGGCTTGCCATGATCCGCAACGCGTGAGGTCGGAAGCAACTGATGTGATTTTGCTGATGTGACCATCATCCACCAATCCTGTTGCTGTGCGGACGGTGCTGATGCTCCGGCTGGCCAAGATACTTGAAAAGAGGAACTCCTGGAAAGAAACCGCCTGGAAACAGACAAAATGGTGGCAGTTTCTTTCAAAGAAATTTCAAGGATCTTTTTGTACACAATACGTGTGCACAGAATCTTACTCTTGAAGGTCTTATCACCATGAGGTCATATCGTCACCATGATCCACTAAACACTGAATGTCAAGGGAGTTGAAGGCATCAATGCTATATGTCCAGGGATTTCATCATGCTACTTGCAACTAATTGGTTCAATCTTTGCTCATGGGGAAACCCGAAAAGCATGCCATTGAATTGCCATTTTCATTGCTAAAAACACCTCTTCAACAGTGATCACTCATGGAGAATTGGAGAGAAGTATCAAAATCACATGGCCTGTGGGCCTGTGCCCCTATCGAAAACCATCTTGATGTGGGAAAAAACCTGGCGCCCCCCTCAATTGATGTGGTACTTTGGGATCAACATGGGTAAACGATCTGGAAAACCCCATGGAAAATCCCGTCGTTTTAACGATCTATCAATGGTGGGTTTCCCACATCTATGTTAGTTTAGAGGATGGTACTTCTGGAATTATTCAGCATTCATGAAGATTGTTCCTGTAAAGAATCACATATTAATCTAGCCTGCTCGGCCGATCGACGCACGACTCTTAGCATGGAAGACATATATAGATGACAGCATCCGAGGGCGCATTCATTTGTGTTGATAATCTCATGACCATCCAGCCACTTCTATTGATGGATAATATCAGGCGAAAGGAGATGCAGCACTTGTAGACATCACTGACATTTGAAGGTGGATCAAAACAATTCAAAACCTATTTTGTTTGGGAAAAAATCTATTTCAGGAGATAAATCCGCGTTTACCTGCTACTTTCGTGCTAGGGCACCAGGGTTTCGTTCCGTTCTGATCCGCAGCCAATTCTCTTTCTTCACCGTGCAACATCCACCGCGAAGGTCGGACTGGCATCTTCAACTGGCATGGACGACGCATCGTCAAATCTTCTCGTTGGGTATGATGGTATTTACTTGGATGACTTGAATGTGCTTCCCAGTTGGTAGGTTTTTCAATCATCTAATGTATGGAATAAATAGAAGTGCGGATGAGGTAGGATGGGCACTTGAAATCTTACAAGGCAACCAAGCAGAACCACCATCTGCTCGTCGGGAATCCACACTTGCACCAAAAAAATCAAGAATTCTCCAAGCCCAAAGAGCGAGGTTCTAGGACATAGACTTGTTCGAGACTGTGAATTTGTTTTACATGCAAAATCTTCAGGATGAAACCGTTTCATGTTGCACAGGTAGCCTTAGATAAAGAAGTCCAAGCAGGATAGCGCGACTGCCAGCAAGATGGAAACAATTCACCAAAGTTTGCCCGAAGTAGGGCTGACCACTCATTCAAGGGTGGTTGGTTTATTATTCCCTTAGACCATAGATATGTCTACCAGAAACCCAACAGTGACTGGAGTTATAAAGGGTACCTTAAGCGATACTTCATTTCCACAGTTGATTACTGGAGATTCAAAATCTCAATAAGACACCATTTGTGTTGGTTAAATCCCATTCAATCACCATTTTTCCCCACCTGCCAGGTGAGGGTTGTTAGATTTTATGTCAGTTGCCTCCTCCTCCTTCTCCTCCTCCTCCTTCTCCTCCTCCGCCTCCTCTCCTCCTCCTCCTCGTCCTCCTCGTCGTCCTCGTCGTCCTCGTCGTCCTCGTCCAACTGCGACCCGCGATCCACAGTGTTCTCTGCCGGAACTCAACCACGACCATCCACGCCCAGTGTTCCCTGCCGGACCTCAACCACGACCATCCACGAAAAATGGTGGACAATCGCGTGTGGAAGAAAGAAATCGAACCAATGAAAAGACACCAAGCAAAATGGTTACTTGCGTGGCAAACGTCGGTACAGGTATAACAGACTGAAGATTACAACCTATTCATGCCGGGGCGGTGAGGCGAGGAAGCAAGCGGGGGAGGGGGGGGCTGGGCGTGGAAAGTAGGAGGGGTTACACGGACAGGAACATCAAATGTAGTGAAGATGTATAACAAGCCAAGTGTTCCATGCCGGACCTTAGTGATTTTTTATTGTTGAATTGGATATGGTGAGTCTCATAAATAAGATATTGTGCAAGAAGATAAATGTTTTTTAGAAAGAAAGGAAAAGAAAAAGAATCAGAAAAAGAATGTCAGAAGATATGCCAGAAGATATGTCAGATAGAATGCCAGAAGATATGTCAGAATATATGCCAGAAGATATGCCAGATAGAATGCCAGATAATTTGCCAGAAGATATGCCAGATAGAATGCCAGATAGAATGCCAGAAGATTTGCCAGATAGAATGCCAGAAAATATGCCAGAAGATATGCCAGATAGATATGCCAGAAGATATGCCAGAAGATATGCCAGAAGATATGCCAGAAGATATGTCAGAATATATGCCAGAAGATATGTCAGATAGAATGCCAGAAGATATGTCATAATATATGCCAGAAGATATGCCAGATAGAATGCCAGATTGAATGCCAGAAGATATGTCAGATAGAGTGCCAGAAGATATGCCAGATAGAATGCCAGAAGATTTGCCAGGTAGAATGCCAGAAGATATGCCAGAAGATATGCCAGATCATATGCCAGAAGATATGCCAGATAGAATGTCAAATAGAATGTCAGAAGATATGTCAGATAGAATGCCAGAAGATTTGCCAGTAAGAAAATGTATAAATGTCATGGTGGGGATCACACGAAGTAAAGTAATTCATAGGATTTTATAGGTAACTCGCTGCGTCAAAGCCTTGCTTCGCCCCATGCTTCGCCTTCATAGTTTTCGTCCTCAGTCCGTACGCACCTGGCTTCAGACAAACAAAACAACAATTGGAGATTTCCTAAGTCATGGGGATACCCCAAGTTACCATGAGTTTCAACACTAAAATGCTCTAATTTTGATTTGGGGTACCCCTATTTTAGGAATCCCCCGGGTCTGGGTCAACATTCTAAGCCATGCATGATCTAAGCCACTCAACGTGACTGATTTGGCGAGTTGATTGGCGCGATGACATGCTCAATTGCAGCCACCCATGAAGTAGCTTTTTCTGAAAGGGATGTGACATATTCTTTCATATTCATGTCTATTCTTCCATTAACAATTATATATATATATATATATCTAAACATGAAATTCTGAACCTTCAAAGCAGAGATTTCCTTACAAAGGGTGGTTATAATTTACCAATGGATGTCCATGCCCCTTTGAGGGCTAACCCCATTGGACACCTCTCCACCAGATCTTCTTTTGGGACCAACGGATTGCTTTAGGGAAGAAGTGCACTCACTTTGAACAACCTCTGCCCTTATCCCAACTAGTATGCATGGGGATTACAAACGAACTTAAAAACGAACTTATGATGTTTGGGGGCCATGTGGGGTCCCACAAATTCTAGGCAAATATTTTGAGATCATTGCCTCTGACCATTGCTTCTAGAAGGTCAATAGTGAGGATCTTCAAATCTGACCATCCCAACTGCATCAGTATCTGGGCAAAACAGTTTCAGAAGATGGCACCTAAATGGTGACATGCGAACCATCGAACCAACGTTAGTCAAGCTAGTTCCAAAGCAACTTGGCTGTATATACTATTAACCAAAGTTAACCTAGTTAGATCTACCATGAACACTACAACCTATCCAGGGGGCAACACCAACCGAACAGCCGCCGTGCCTGACAAACATTCTCCCAGCCGCAAATCACGTTGGACTGGCCACTGCGGTCCTTCCGTTTGGTCACTTGCTGGTTCACCCCTGTGAATGAAAGAAAGAAATCCTGCAGCAGTTCGTAGATGGTAAATCCCATTGTAATCCCATGATTTACAGTGTTTTGCATACTTCCCAATACCAAATGGTGCAGGATTTTGCAACCATCCACAGTATGTATTATTAATCCCAGTCTAAGTGGGATGACTAGAGGTTACTCCCTTCCACATGAAAACAGCTGCGGTAGGCTGCCTACGATTCTTGGCGTGAACCATCAAGTACGAGTACTGGTTCAATGTTAAACGATTTCGATGGAGGAACCTTTCATACCAAAATTGTTTCAAGACTCTTTTTGTAAATACCTGGTATACATATTTTGATGAGAAGTTGAGGGTGTGCCTTGAACTCTGCCTTTTTTTTGTGGTGGATACCTCGGATGATTATCAAAGTTATGAGGATGAACAAATAAACAGCCACACATTTCTTTTGATTTTCCCAACTTTAGACATTTATCATGCGAAAACAAAATATAGTGGAAGTGTGAAACGAACCAATAGTAAGTTAAATCAAGGCCTCATGGAATGGATTTTGAAGAGTATAAACAGATGTAAAGAGCTTTATACCAATATACAAATATCAATGAGACCAACATGTGCTTTTCCGGAAACCATAAGCAATTTTTCCACTGTGTACCTTGTTTCTCTGTTCAGGCACTCGCTGCAGTCCCTCTGTAACGGTGTGCAGACAAAGATTCAGGATCCTTTGATATTCGCATGAGGGAATGCCCAAGATTCCTTGGTTCCTGACCAAGATGCACTCAGGGCCTTTATTTTTTTAAAAAATTACTTTACTTCGTGTGATCCCCACCATGACATTTATACATGTTCTTACTGGCACATCTTCTGGCATTCTATCTGACATATCTTCTGACATTCTATTTGGCATTCTATCTGGCATATCTTCTGGCATTCTATCTGACATATCTTCTGGCATTCAATCTGGCATTCTATCTGGCATATCTTCTGGCATTCTATCTGACATATCTTCTGGCATATATTCTGACATATCATCTGGCATATCTTCTGGCATATCTTCTGGCATATCTTCTGGCATTCTATCTGGCAAATCTGATGCATTCTATCTGGCATATCTTCTGGCATTCTATCTGACATATCTTCTGGCATTCTATCTGGCATTCTATCTGGCATATCTTCTGGCATATATTCTGACATATCTTCTGGCATTCTATCTGGCATTCTATCTGGCATATCTTCTGGAATATCTTCTGGCATATCTACCTGGCATATCTTCTGGCATATTTTCTGGCATTCTACCTGGCAAATCTTCTGGCACTCTATCTGACATTTTATCTTCCTACATGAGGTCCGGCAGGGAACACTTGGCATGGATACTCGCGGTTGAGGTCCGGCAGGGAACACTGGGCGTGGATGGTCATGGTTGAGGTCCGGCAGGGAACACTGGGCGTGGATGGTCGTGGTTGAGGTCCGGCAGAGAACACTGTGGATCGCGGGTCGCAGTTGGACGAGGACGACGAGGACGACGAGGACGACGAGGACGACGAGGACGACAAGGACGACAAGGATGACAAGGAGGACGAGGAGGACGAGGAGGAGAGGAGGAGGAGGAGGAGGAGGAGCAGGAGGAGGAGGAGGACGAGGCAGGAGGAGGCAACTGACATAAAATCTAACAACCCTCACCTGGCAGGTGGGGAAAAAACATCTCTCTTCACTGCGATTTAATCCCAGCGATCAACCTTTACTCCAAGAGCAGACACGGCATCCTCGTCATCACCTGAAGCAAAAGTGCTCGCCGTTTCAGCCAAAAATAGTTTCCTTTGCTTGCATGTGAACCAGTTTTTTCTGTAAACAAAAGTGATGGTACACCTGATCGATACACGGCATACCTTGGGGTATGATTACTGACTTTTCCACTGCAGTGAGCCGATTTAAGGATCCATTCACCCTTCCATCGCAAAACTGATTCCCTGTAATTACACCAGGAATCCCACTGCTTGAATCGTTCTTTGCTTTTTGTCAATGCTGACGATTTGTACTTGGCACGGAACAGGTCTGAAGATCTCAAGTTTCAGATATTCATCTCGATCTCGAACTATCTGCAAAAAAATATCTTCAGTTTCCAATGGCACCCTACTTCTTCTGCACATAAGTTGCACCTACGGCAGTACAGTTAAATTAGAAATGAGAGTGATCCCTGGAAAGAGAATCATTTTTTGATCGTTTCTTTGGCCAGGTAGTCAGTCTATACCAATTAGATGTCATTTTTTATGTAAAAACAGTTAATTAAACACAATCATATTTACTGGCGAAATCACCATATATCTGGGCAACTTAGAATAATTCCAAAGGCTATATCTATTATTTTCGAAGCCTAAATATATCTATGGAAGTATCCCAAAAATGGTGACATAGCTTTTGGGTCAGCCATTTTTACTTATCATGTTTAAGGCCATTTTGGGATACTTACCCCTCACGAAGCATCAACTTTCTTGAGGCCAGCTGAGGTCTCTCCGAAGACTACACAGATCCAAAGAATGGTTGTGTCTGAAAAATGGATATACCGTACCCCAGTTATAGCCGTTTAATACAAGTAGGGGCAATTATCATTCACCTGCCGCTTTTGGTGCACCCCATTTTCAGACAAACCCGGATTTCTTTAAGGTTGGTCTAAAAGTGATAGACTGATAGACTGTATAAGCAAATAGTCCATTGGAGATCTTCTCTATATGTACCCATCACATATCAATTATTTCCCATTTTTTTGATGTTTAAGCATCATATTTACTGGTTAAATCACCATTAACCCATCAACAGAGGTATGTTGAATCTTGGATTTGCTGAAAAGGAACCCCCAACAATGTAACATCACTCAGCAAATCCAGGCCTATCATAAGTTGATGAATAAGCACCATTACCTATCGTTATATCTACCATAAACCATAGTAATTGGAGATATTTTCACAACGACTAGGTATCTAAATCCCATGAAATCTCAATAAATCAACATAATATAAATGCCATTAAAGTCCATTTACTCACCGTTGTTTGTTGCTTTTTTTCACCCAACTTCCCCAGTTTGCCCAAACTCCAGTCCTGACAATATCCTGGGTCTCGATCGCCCATGCACAAGACCCAGCCAACTTCTGCATGCCTTGCCGGTCAGCCGGTCAAAAAAAGGGGCGTCAAGCCATGAAGTGATTAAGAAGGCTCAATACTGGATAAATATATAGCAAGTTTGAAAAAGATAGAACAGTTGAAACCCTGGAAATTATGGAGGAAACATCATAACATAACATCCTGGAAACACATTTCTATCTTTGTGAGGGTTGCTATATGTTCATGATGGGTTCATGATGAATCATATTGCTTGAACATTGCCTTATGAGCTTCAAATCAAAGCTTCCAAACCGTGCAAATTGGCTTTCAAACCAACAGGGTATCGGCATATAATGACCAACAAACATGGTACTTTTCCAATCATACAAGTGGACGTATTACCCTTTGGTTATTTGACATAGCTTTTGAACATAGCTCACTTTTAGATGATTTATGGCGATTTACCAATGAAAAGTGGTGACTTTCCGTAGCGATATTAAAGTTTTCAAAGGGTATCACTAGCAACCAATAATACTGGCAATGGTCCGCATAAACTGGTCAATCGGCGTACTCATTACAGGGATAGACAAACCTTTAGTGTAAGAAACCCTCATCAACCTACCATTTCTTTCATGATTGTTACCATCCATGGATCGTGATTTTGGAGATGGTTTATTTTTGGGCTTATCACATCAATCTTCAACAAAATGGAAAACACATCCCTTTTTAAATGGAGGTTTTGATGGGACATCCCATATACAAACGGAATTCCCATATATTATTTCCATTGAATATCATCATTCATGACAAACCCGCCGCGCATTGCTCGCTCCTGCGAAGTCTCCTGAAAGTCTCTCAAGGTCATCGCGACATACGAAAGCAAAGTCCCAAATTGAAAAATCCACTGGTTCAAAAAAACATGTTCCCTATTTCTTATGGCTATAAATGGGGGTTTATCATACGGTATATCCCATTTTCAGACACCTTTTTTCGGTCGGCTGTAGAAATTAAGATTTGCATTGGCTTTACACCTCCATTATTGGACCCACTGGATCATCACGATCGCCCGTTGAAGTGAAATCCAGCCACGGCTTCAAATCCGGAGGAGGAGGAAGTGTTGTAGTGCTTACCTGGCGAAAACTCACGGAAGATTGGGACTTTCTCTCAAAAGATTGGGATTTTGATCAACATTTTGTATTTTTTTTGTTTCCGAAAGTTTGGAATCTTAGATCACTTAGATCTACACTTTGGAATGCAGGCTTTGGCCGCGCACCGATGGACTTAACCAACAAACATAGGGATTTAACCAATTTCATGGGGAACATGATGGAAAGCTTTGGATGATTTTGGGGTACCCCATGACAAAGCCATATTATCCCATTAATTGGGATCTTAGGTTTTGCCAATCTTAAATTCAATGTATATATATATACAGTATACGTATATACGTATATACGTATATACGTATATATCTATATATGTAGGTGTATATAAACCTATGTTGGTTCACTTATTGCATCTAAGAATCTATCTCATGATTTTTGTTGAGCCGCATTATGTTTGTAGATACGACCTGGGATTGCAAAAGTAAGAGCATGCCTAGCTAGCTGATGGATTCTTGCAACTTGGAGTTATTTGACATACTCTTAAAAGGTGGTCGCTATTGTTGGAAACTAACCTTCGATTAATTTGATTGAAATCGCCAAGATATCAAGTATCTAAAGGATTTTTTTGGTGTCAACCAATGGGGGGATGATTGAGATCAAACAACAACTTCCATTTCTTGACATCACCTATGAACTCACCTTTAGAGCAGAAGAAAACCATTGTTTAACTCACCTTTTTTTGGTATGTTTCAATGTTTCGTTCCACCCAAATGGAAACATATCAGGACGCCTGTTGATGTAAAGGTACACACATTTTGTTAGCAAACTAAAATGGTTTCATGCACTCAGGATATGGGTAAAAACACGTTTGGTCCCGGCCGTGAGTGCCACAGAATTGGCTGCTTGTGGGTGCTTATCCCGAAAAATTATGCGAATCATCTATAATGTCTCTATATATATATATATATAACACCACAGAACTACACACACATTCACATGTATGTATATATATATGTATAATGTGTATGTATACAAACATATAATGTGAATATAAATATATATATATATATATATATAATATATATATAATATATATATATATGTATATATAAATGTATATATATATGTATATATATAGTAAAATGTATATATATATATATTATGTATATGTATATATATATAATGCATATCTACAACTTGCCTATCTGTCCATCTACCTGTCTATCTATCCATCTCTATCTCTATCTCGATCTCAATCTCTATGCATCCAGCCTGCATCTATATATGTATATGTATTTATATATATATATATACATATACAAAAATACATTTATTTATCTACACAATTTCTACACATACATGTTGCACAGTGCCATTCCACCAGCCAGAACCCCTTTCCGCTCATCAGGGCACCGTGGTGGTCGTTGGCGAAGCTTCATCAACTGAGAGGCCAGGTGAGGGCCAGACAGGTACCATCCCAAGTATCGACCATTGGGGGCTCTTTTTTCATCCCAAGTAGGGGATTGGTATAACCCGGGATTATTGCAATATACCATTATAATCCATTATACTGCTTGGTGGTTGACTTAGCCCTCTGAAAAATGATGGAGTTCGTCAAATGGGAAGGATGACATCCCATATATATATATCATATATTGTGGAAAAAACATGTTTGAAACCACCAGCCAGTATATATATATATATACACAATTTTTATATCATCCATAGCATCCTGTGAAAGCTTTCCTATCACTTTTGGGGATCCTTACTGATGGGCCCCGGGGGGGGGTCTACCTAGTCTACCTTGATGGCTTGAATACCCCAATCACTAGGGGACTCTTTTTACACGTTAAATGAGGCAAAATAACACAGCAACAGCTCTTATGGTACCATTTTTTGATGCCTCATTTTGTAGCTACCATCTGGTTATGACTAAAAGTTTGCCATGGAAAGATCCACCATGTTTCATAGGAAAACCCAGGTAAACCATCTATTTCTATGGGCCATCTATACCATGGCAAACTGTGAGTCATAACCAGAGGCTAACAGTTGTCATTAGCCAATTGCCACGGCCTTGTCAAACCCGCAAGTGGAGCATAGTGGAGTCATGGAGTCGATTCGAGTCGGAGCCCATGTCATATATCATGAGACATCAATCCCATAGGATGCATGGTGCTGGTATATATGCTAACATGACTGGGGTATATGGATGGTAAATGCTACCATATATAGCATACATGGATCCCATATCAATGGAAACGGCCACGGTTGTTTCGATACAATCCAATCTTTACTAATCTTTAGATATCAGCTGCCACATTGGTAAAAAAACACAAAGGGAATCGACCTGAATCGAACATTGCTTGGGTTCCCCCTGGAATGTCCTCTATCTCTTTGTTGGGTTTTCTCTTAGACGGTCTTTTTTCAAGCATGTCTTTTTGGAGGTCAATCTAGATATAGATATAATACATACTTGTCATCTCCACAGAATGCTCCAAGCGCGAAATTGCGCTTCGACCGCCGCTTGGTGGATACTGCAGGGGATAACCTCAAACATTGACTGCTTGGTGGTGCAATGTGCCCATCTTGAAAAATGATGGAGTTCGTCAATGGGGTTGGGATGACATCCCATATATGAAATGGAACATGAAAATGTTTGAAATCACCAAACATGTTTGATCATGTTGGTTTATAAGTTTGCTCTAAGGTAGGATATCCCATTCTATCCTATGGTCAAGTCTAAACTCTAATTTTCTTTATTCGTCTAGCCTAGCCTTTTTTATTTGGGGCGATTTGCCCCCAATTTCAGACAACCACCATCCCATATCGTTGAATGTATGTACATATGTATACTGTATATATATATGTATCTCCATCAACTGGTTAGTTTTACACCTCGTTCTTGTTGTTGTTTATACGAACAAAATCCTGATTTGTTTGGTTGATTTTCCCCATCAATCCCTTGCCCAAGCTAGATGATATATCAGGAAAATTACTGAATTGACATTTGCTGGGTGCTTTGGATTATATATTTAGGTATGATATAATGATATATAATGATGTATATATAAAAATAATATTATATATATAATATTATATAAATGTATCTACATGCCTTTATATGTATGTCCTATGAAATCCCCCATCAAATGGTCGTTTTAATTCCATTAAATTCCACTTTTTGATGCGGTTTCAACCTCAATTTTCGACTCATACTGGTTTGCTGGACCATTTTGGCTTCCTTATATACACAACATTTATACTTCATTTCGTTATCTCACCATCCGGACAGCTTCTTATCACCACCTTATTTATGGTATCTGGGAAAACTTACATATTTCACTAACCTGAACAGTTATATGTTTTATTTATCTATGTATATATAGATATATAAATAATTTTATATATATGGTGATTATTATTACTATTATCATGAAATATCATTATATATTAAAAAAATATTATTATATATTATTAATATGTATATATATATATACACGTATCTTAACTAGATCGATCTTTTTATTGGCTAAACATCATAGTTGCTGGTCAAATCGCCCGATTTTCGCTAGGCGTTCCCGACGCAAGATCTGCTCCGCTTTCAGCTTCAGCTTCTTGGGCAGCTGAATGCCTGGCGACCAGCTGGTCGCGAGTTTTCAAGGGATACACATATAGCCTCTGGTCAACATTGGAAATCATGGGATAATCATGGGATAAAAATGGAATTTCATGGAATTTAATCATGTTAAAAGGTTTTACCATCTAGTTACTAATGGAATTCAATGATTTTACTAGGATTTACCGGTTATTTCACCGTAGGGAACTGGAAAGTCACCAGTTTTAGTAGGTCAATCCCCTATCAAATGGTCCATTTTTCATGGCTATGTTAGTTTACGGGAGGGTATTTGGGGATGTTCATCAAAACATGGCTGGTTGGTGGTATACCTACCCCTCTGAAAAATATGAAAGTCAGTTGGGATGATGACATTCCCAATATATGGAAAGCCATAAAAAGCATGTTCCAAAGCACCAACCAGATGGGGATACAAAGCCGATTTTTATTGGATATTGGGACAAGAAAAATTGATATGCCATGAGATTTTTGGAGTTCCATTGGTATATCATCAGTTTCACCGTGTTCCATTCAATCGCGATTGAGTAGCCAATGTCACCAAGAAAAATGATGGACATATATGGACATGCCATTCTATGGCCATGAACACCAGTGGTCCATGATTTTCAACATGATTAAATCTTGCGCCAGCCTCTTTTTAGAGATTTCACCAACAAAACGGGGATTTCAGTGATTGAACCAACAAACATAGGGATACTATTAACATTAATGTAACAACATATCAACAGGGGCATATTCGATGATTGTGGCCATTCATTGTCCATGATTGTTTGGCAAATAATGGCAGATGAAAAGTGACACCCAATAAACATCCACCATTCCATCCATGTCCTTATGTCTATCTGGATCTAAACTTTTGGGGTGAAGATATGGGAATTGAACCAACAACAATAGGGCTACAGCATGGAGATGTCTTCCCTGGCGCAACTTGGAGAGTATGCAGAACAAGTTGGAACTAACGCTGTGAACTTACCAAATCACCAAACCCTGCAACCTCACGTCTGGAGTGCAGGTTTTGCCCATCCGCAAAAACAAACTGAATTACAATCTTTCACCACCAAGCCCAAAGACTTCAAAGATAACCAAACTTATGGGTCAAAACATATGATTAACCAAAGAGAAGCAAAGTTTACAATGGTTACCCATAACCAATGGCTACTGAACGGGTGATCCCTACACCCCCCACCTGAGGGCTCCCGATACTCCATCAAGAAACCCATGGCGTCCCGAATCTCCTTGGTGAGACAGGAGAAACGGGTGATTTTTGTAGCTTTTTGAGCAGCAAAATTTGATGTTTCACCAAAGACTCGGCTTTGACCAATCAAAGAACTGCAAAACAACTTCACCAACATTGGTGATTTCATCCAGATGGGTGATATTTTTTTCATCATGATTGATGAATGTCAGGTTTTTAACCGACAACGGAGCTTTGATCCATAGATGTTTTTGGTTCAACCCACGAAACTGTGCCAACTGATCGCTGGAAAAAAGGCATCCTGACGGCATCCTGACGAACCTGGTGATATCATCCCAAAATGGCGAAAAAAATGCCGCACCGAACAGTGCCAATCAGCCAGATACGCCAAAAATGACCCATTCTTAGCTGGTTAGTTAGTAGATAATCCCATACCAAAGGATTAAAGGATGGCTTAGTACCCATCTAAGATTGACCTAGTTAAGTACCATTATTTAAGTGCCATCAATAGTGAGGTTGATATGTGAGTCGGCATTCAACATCACTCTTGGTGGCAGATCTGGTAGAAGGACCAGTTCACGAACCCCCGAACCAAGTGGTGCTCCCCCCAGTTACAAGCCGGGTAAAAAGCCCGCCGAACTATAGATACAACACTTTGCCTAGTAATGTTTACCATTTTAGCCAATTTATTGGGCACAGTATTGTACAATCTATTGCAATCAGCCAGAGCATAGCTCACATCCGCTACGATTATCCCAGAAAACTGTGTCGATTATCCCCGCAATCCAATACGAACAAGGCATCGGCAAGCGGCGCCTAAATGTTAGTCTTCAGGATCTAAATTCCCATAGATTTCTTGGATTCACATTTGTTGATTGCTAAAAATATCATACTGCAATGATCCCCGAAGTTTGAATCCATGGTTCCTGCCTGTTGATTCCTCCCATGGAAAGCTTTCATTCCAAAAAGACTGATTTAGCCATAATCAAGGGTAGCTCATGCCATAGCCATAATAGCTATGTAGTTTTTCTTAGACTTAGTTTGCAGTTGATGTTGGTTAAAAACACAAATTTCGGCGCTTATCCCCCATGACGTTGTTGGCGATATCAACATACGATATAAGCCGCTTACCAACTATGACTAGGCCGTGATTCGTACTTCACATTCCCGCGATTTCCCCACTTCAAGCATCATTTCTAGTGACCTACCATATACCATCTGGTTATTTAACATAGCCATGGAAAACGGCACATTTATATATTACCTTTCGTGAGTGAAGAATCTGCAACTTTCAGAAAAATAAGAAAAAATAAGTGTGCACAAGTGTGCCCTCAGTAGTTTATGTGTTTTGGGGCACCTAATGACGCAAATCAGTGCAGTTTGCAGATCCAACAAATCAGAGGGGTGGTGGAAAGATATATGGTAAAGGGCCATGGGACTTTCAACATCTCCAGGTAAGAAGGGTGTTTACCCGGAATTTCTTTGAAAAAAAACAAAATGTTCAACGCAATTCTAGCCATGTGACTTTCAACATCTCCAGGTAAGAAGGGTGTTCTTTACCCGGAATTACATTGAACAAAAGAAAGTGTTCAATGTAATTCTGGCCATGGGACTTTCAACATCTCCAGGTAAGAAGGGTGTTCTTTACCCGGAATTACATTGAAAAAATAAGAATGTTCAATGTAATTCTGGCCATGGGCTTTTCAACATCTCCAGGTAAGAAGGGTGTTCTTTACCCGCAATTACTTTGAAAAAAAAGAATGTTCAATGTAATTCTGGCCATGGGACTTTCAACATCTCCAGGTAAGAAGGGTGTTCTTTACCCGGAATTACATTGAACAAAAGAAAGTGTTCAATGTAATTCTGGCCATGGGACTTTCAACATCTCCAGGTAAGAAGGGTGTTCTTTACCCGGAATTACATTGAATTAATTGATAGATAAAACTTAGTTGAAACAGTAGCATCCCAGAGTGAAGTGGCCTTGCCAGAACCACTTCAGCGTGAGTTTTGTCTTGGCAAGACTATCTCAGAGTGAAGTGGTCCTGCCAGGACCACTTGACAGTGAATTGGCCTTGGCGGGACCAATTCAGAATGAGTTGGTCCTGGCGGGATCGTTCCAGAGTGAAGTGGTCCTACCAGGACCACTTAAAACTGAATTGGTCCTGGCAGGACCATAATGGTCTTGGCAAGGCCATACAGGTCTTGGCCAGTCTTGACAGGACCATTATTGCCTTGGCCCGACCACAATTGGCAATTATGGCCTTGGCCGGACCACAACTTGTGGTCCGGCCAGGACCACAACTGCCAATTGTGGTCCGGCCAGGACCACAACTGGCAATTATGGTCCTGGCCGGACCAGAATTGGCAATGGTGGTCTTGGTCGGACCACAATTGGCAATGTTGGTCTTGGCCGGGCCACAATTGGCAATGATGGTCTTGGTCGGACCACAACTGGCAATTATGGTATTGGCCGGACCATAATTGCCAGCTGTGGGGTCCTGGCTGGACAATAATTGCCAGTTTTGGTCTGCCAATTGTGGTCCGACCAAGACCAATTGCCAGTTGTGGTCCTGCCAAGACCATCATTGCCAATTGTGGCCCGACCAGGACCATAATTGCCAGATGTGGTCCTGGCCGGACCACAATTGGCAGTTGTGGTCCTGGCCAGACCACAACTTGCCAGTTGTGGTCCTAGCTGGACCACAACTGTTGTAACATGACCAGCTCACACAAGAGAAGTGTGCACAAGTTCAAAATAGTTCCAAAATAAGTGTGCGCAGGTCTAAAACAGACCAAAAGAAGTGTGCATGATCATGCTCGTTTGTGTTTTAACTTCTTGGTACTTGTGGTCCTGGCCGGACCAACACTTGCCAGTTGTGGTCCTGGCCGGACCATAATTGCCAGCTGTGGTCCTGGCCGGACCATACTTGCCAGTTGTGGTCCTGGCCGGATCATAATTGCCAGTTGTGGTCCTGGCCGGACCAAAACTTGCCAGTTGTGGTCCTGGCCGGACTATAATTGCCAGTTGTGGTCCTGGTCGGACCATAATTGCTAATTGTGATCCGGCCAGGACCACAATGGTCTTACCAGGACCCTGGCAGGACCATAGTGGTCCTGGTAAGACCACAATGGTCTTGACGGGACCACAATGGTCCTGCCAGGACCACGATCGTTTTGCCAGGACCATAGTAGCCTTGCCAAGACAATAATTGGTTTACCAGGACCATAGTGGTCATGCCAGGATTATACTGGTCTTGCCAGGACCAAAATGGTCTTGCCAGGACCAGAATGGTTTTGCCAGGACCATCATGGTTTTGCCAGGACCATAGTGGTGTTGTGTGGAGGTTAATGGTTTTGATAGGACTATTTTGGTCATGGCAAGATAAATGCTGGTCCTGGTAAGATCATTTCGTTCTGGCAGGGCCGGGCCCTTTTAATTGCAGAACGTGTTGGTCCTGACAGGACCACTTCATCGCGCGTTGGTTTAGAGTGAGTTGGTCTTGGTATCACCAGTCCAGTGTGTGGACTGTGAACTGTTGATGCTAATGACGAATGATATCATACCATTTCATATCATATCATTCTTAGATTATTTTATGGTTAATGATGCTGTGTGATGTGATACCAACAATTATATATCTTCTAATTTTATGAGTTCCCTGTCGGGCTGGTTCTGGGGCAGGGTCAACCAATTATTTCGCGACATAAATGATGCCAATATAAACAATGAATCTTAAATATTTAGGGCCATGTTGAGCCTATCTTTTGGGTGTGACTTTGTGTTTTTGGGGAACCAATCCAAGCGGAAATTTAACAACCTTTCATTTTTTGGCCTTATTTACAATATATTATAATCATTTTTGATATAATATGAAATGATATGATTATGAAATTAATATTTAATATAATATAGTATCATATAATAAAATATAATATACCATTTTAATTGATTTTAATATGACACACTATATTTTAATATAATAGAACTCTCAATAATATAGTAGTATAATATCAAACTATGATATTAGATAATATAGTAATATAGTAATGTAATAATACATTAATATAATAAATATATGTAATATATGGGCTTTCTGGCACTTGCTGGCGTTCTGAACCACTGAACCTCTCGTGAATTTCAATGGAATTCTGGACATTTCTTTATTTTTTTCTACCGGAGAGGAAAGGGAAGTTCTGTGCACACTTCTGGCTTGTGGGAGATGAAAACAGAAGTATGCACACTTATTTCGGCCAAACGGGTGGATCTCGTGAAAGTTAATACATTTATATAGATGATTTTCCCCTTAAAACCTCCATTCATAAGGGGTTTTCCATGGCTATGTTAAATAACTAGAGGGTGTATATATATATATATATAATATGTATCCCACAAAATATGGCCAAACATATGGTACCGTACCTCCATGTAAGGGCCCTGAAGTTTGCATCGATGTAGTGCTGTGATCGTTACACCAAGAAGCTTCAATTAGCCCAGATAATACCTTGGTTGTTGTGGGAATTTATAGGTACTTATTCAAGTCCTAAAGTATCTAACTAACATATCCCATCATATCACATCATATCTCAATATTACGCCTAAATAATCCCATTGTGCCCCAGTTGTGGTATCTAACAACCATCATATTGAAGTTCTATTTATAGTTGAGTAGAAATGTTGAACTTCAAACCCTACAATGTGGGGCCCCCTAATTATATATTGGTTTATAAACCCCATTAACAACAGTTATAAGTCTCATAAACCATAGCCATTGAAGTTATAAACCAACTTAGCTATCGTTTTGGGAACCCCACATTGTAGCTATCACCCAATTATTTCACCATCATTCATCACATTTTTAGCTACTATTAACCAGCCATTTAACCACTATTCATCACCATTAATCACCATGAATCACCATTTTTAACTCATACATGTCCATTTCACTGTTGGTTAAATCCCATTGAATTTCATTAAATCCCCATTTTCATGGCTTGATCCATGGTCAAAACGGCCTTTGTAAAAAACACTTTAACACTGACGCCAAGCAGCAGCGCCCGCATCTGCCTCCGATGCTAAGAACCTGGGCTGGAGCCGGGCGGCTCCCGTTGCTGGTGAACCATGTAGCAGGATATCATGAGAATTCATGGGAAAATGGTTTCCCCCCATATCCCCATCATCTTCATGGGAAAATCCATGGGATATACCGGTAGATTTTCCCTTTACCCGGCTGGTAAACGTTGAATCATAACTGATGGGAAAATCACCATGCTATTAATGGGTAAATCAACTATTTCTATCGCCATTTTCAATAGCTTTTTGTATGTTTACCAGAGGGTACTGGGGATATATACACTAAACACCTATCTATATTCTATCTTATATATTCTTATATCCTCTGGTTCTGAAAATCAGTTTGCTATGGAAGCCTGGAAGTGCATTTATAGACGATAAAACATGATGATTTACCTATTGAAAATTGTGATTTTCGTCAATTTTCTAGTGTGCAAACCGTTAAATAAGCGATGGAAAGGTTCCGTAACTAAGGGCCTCAGTTGGGCCCATGGCGAACCAGGCTGGAGAAGCAAATGTCCACGCAGCAATGGGGAGCTTCGCCACCAGTTGAGCCGTAGCTGCCCTTATCATGTTGTCACAGGAGGTGTTCACCTGACTCTACAAAGGAGATACAGTAGGGTCTCCATCGAATTACCCTTGTTATTCCAATGTCGGTTGATGGCCGTACATGGGCCCATCGTAATGTCGGTAACGGCACCTCTAAAAGACGGGCCCACTCAACATGCTTGCGGCTGGCAGAGCAAAGGACGTTGAGAACTCGTTCCCCATGAAGCTGCAGGAAACCGAACTTCGAACGCCGGATTTTCCCATTTCCATCATCCTCCCATCATTGGGGTCCCTATCAACTCGTAAACTGAACGAATGGTCGGATCTAAGCAACCAACATGGCTATGCATCAAAGACAAGGTTGCTTGTGGACCCAAAGTGTTTGTCATTTTCTTATTTGGGGTGATTCCATAAATGGTGGTACCCCCAATAGCTGGATGGTTTATAATGGAAAATCCTACTAAAAATGGATGATAACTGGGGTACCTCCTATTTCAGGAAACCTCCATTTAACCAACTCGCAATTTTTCGAGCATGTAATTTTGAGCCATTCCCAGTGCTCGTGGGAGCGACATCTATAGTTGTGGGCTACAACTACAAATTCAATCCAATTCTTCATGGGCTTATACAAGTGTATAAGTTATGTCACAACTACCAGCAAACCACCAAAGAATTGGGACATGATTATACATTATTCATATTCTTGGCAGTTGTCAGCAAAGAAAAATGGCTGGTATCTACCAAAATGAGGAGTGAATCGGCTACCAGTTGGTTCTAAGTGGGGGGTTGCACTGATACATGTCCCAATGCCTAGAATAAGAGGTTCATGTACGAAAAACATGGGGTCAAACAAGGGGAATGCCAGCTTCTGATTTTCTCACTGTCCATTTGGACAAACGCAACGTTTCTTGCTTACAATCCCCGTTTTGATGATTTCTGTCGCCATTGCTGTTGATAGTATCCCAGTAAATGAACAAGTTTGTTGGTTTGATGGGCGTCCGTTGTTTAAATGGTTTGACGCTTCATACAACTATACATAGTTTGTTTGATGGCTGGCTGGAAAAATACTATTGGTCTGGGTCACCCCATTTTCCCTGAAAATGCAGGATATAACCTAATATTTCTGGCCAAATATACGCACTTATTAAGTGGAACATCCCAAGTAATATGGTACATCCAATTATAAACCCCCAATTTTGGAGATCTTAGGTTTCCATTTCTGGTGACATTGGGGATTGCTTATTTTGGGTTTAACCCACTAAGGAGCCCCGGTTTTTGACGATTTCTTGGCTTCCACACTGGATCTCCCAACGCGTTCGATCAGGATCTCGGGTGTCGGTGCCACGGGGCCACGGTGCCACGGTGCGGTCGTTGAGTCAAAATCCCGTGGTTTCTGCGATGAGATTGGGTTGAAAGCCAGTGGTAAATATCTTGCTTAACTTACCCTCTGGCAATCAAAGATGGCAATGGAGAATCCCTGCGTTGATGTTTTGCCCATTCGAAGCTCCGCTTGTTTGAGGAATTTCCCATTGCCATTGGTTTGACCGGAGGGTAACCCCAATCAGTTGATGACTAAAATGCATTGCCACTGGACATAGCACTGTTTCAACCCCAACCAATCGTTTACCATCGATGATCCCAGGAAAGGATCCGTCAAAATCTCGGGAATCTACGGTGCAAATCTCGTTTGATCCTCTGGCTGCTGTGCTGAGGTTGACACGTTCATTGCAGATGATCCTGAGACGGTGGCATGGCTACCTGGTGGAATCGGGGTATGCCATTTGGGGGATGAAAAACATCTGAAAAAAGCATGGCCTTCGGCCTGCTACACTAGTTATACTAGTTGGGGTGTAAATATCCTCCATGTCAGCTGGATTTCGTCATTCGCTTTTTGAGGATAGACAACGCACAAGTATTACAGTGAGAACTAACCTGACGTTGATCATATATCTAATTAGGTACACAGAAATAGGCTACAAGCGGCGCAGCTGAGCAGTTTCCATCTTGATCTGCGATGCAATGACATCTGGGAAAGTGGCAATGATTTTCAAATCAGAATGATGATGATGATGATGGTGATGATTTCTATTATTGTAATATCATTAATGTCCCCTGTATATCTATATATTCATATATGTATGTATGTAAAGGATCGTATAATTCCCGAACTAATCATCATCAACCAACAGGGGTAGATCGCAGTCAAGTTGCTTATGTCGAATCGGATCAGCGACCTCAGTTGGCTGGCCCTTAACACATGACAAAACAACACCAGTTTACCAAGCGCAGTTGGATGGTACATTCTTAGTCGTGGTAAATTCTAGATATCATGCAAAACAGTTGACTTTAACTGGACCGGATAGTACAATCGTCCATTGATGGCCAACATCTAATCAATTGACCGACCAGAGTTTACCCAGAATACCTCAACGCCAAATGGGCTGCTCGTGTCCGAGGTACAAAGCTTGTTTCAATGCCTGATTTTATTAGAAACCCAGGAAACAACCATAGAAAACTTTGGTGGAAAACATAGAACATTTTTTCGTTGATTGAGACTTTGATGACCTTTACTTCATCCGCCCAGATCTACAAAAATCTTTTGGATTCTTTGGCAGAAATTCCCCAGAAGGTGGACCCATTGGAAAAATCCAGCATCACCATCTCAACAAAGCCATGTTTCCCCTCTGACGATTTAACATAACCACAGAAAATGGCCCATTTATAGATGATAAACATGGTGATTTACCTTTGAAAAAAAGGTCATTTTCAAGTTCGCTACGTTGAAAAATCAAAGGGTAAATCCTATTCACATTCACATCATTAAATCCCATTAAATCTCACTGAATTCCAATTAAATCCCGTTCAATTCCCATTGTTATCCCATTATTTGGTGCCCTCGCCAAAGCTGGGCCGCAAGAGCTGCGCACAGCTGCGCGCCGGGCACCCAGACCCAACGCTCGATCGGCTCGCACAGGGGGGTTTCTACTTCGATGCCTATCTCATACCTGTCGCGGGGCCACGTATCACATATGTCCCAATCTTAGATACCCGCAAAAAAATACAAATTCTTAGCTGGTGAACGTAGATAATCCCATACCAAAAGACTGGATTAGTTTGTACCCATCTAAGATTGACCTAGTAGATACAGATGTATATATATATATCATAATAAGTAATATATATATATATATTTCAACATTTATGATAATCTATGTACAAAAGATATCTTAATGTCGACGACAAGTCGACCATTTTTCTTGATGACGTCCCCCGTTCTCGATCATCCCAGTGCTGGGTGCCTTGTCGCTGACCCAGCCCTCTGCAAAATGATGGACTTCGTCGGGGAAAAAATACATTCCATGGAAAATCACCTTTTTTAATAGGGGGAACCATCTATAAATGGGTCATCTATACCATGGCTATGTTAAATAACCAGAGGGTATATGGAAAAATATATTAAACATGCTCCAAACCACAAAAAACATAAATTGTGGTCGATTTTTGTAGCAGTTATCTAGGTAAAGCCTCAAAGAAACCATCTGTGTAACCGTTTGGGGGGTCATTCTTGCAAACATCGTCCCAAAAACTGTGGTATAGCTCATGATAATGGTCAACTGGACCTGGTTTATTGAGTTTACCAATTTGCGTTCCTACTTTGTTGCCGACACTCAAAAAATCCACAGTGTGCACAGCATTTGGAGAGCTACGCAGCTAAATCCATGGGGCTTCAAGCGCCGGTGACCCTTCAAGATTCCGTGGGCTTTTTGAGGGATGAATCTGAACCAACAACATTACTGCTTATTTTTTGCGAATCTTCACCATCTTTTCTTGGGGGGTCACAGTTTAGGGAAGTTGAATTTCCATGACAGAACATAGTGGCATCATGCTATTGCAATTAATATTGCCATTGTATCTACATCGTATCTCATTATATTCCAAGTTGTGTTTGTTGGTTTATAACCCCCGATTAAGTATAGATATATCTGCCACAGATCATAATGATTAAAGTCATAAACCAACTTAGCTGCATCTCAATCACATGAACGCCCAAGTCCACTATATGCCCATTTATTAAAAAGAGCTGGTTATAAATTGGATTATACATTCCATAAATGGGGTTATAAGTACTGACAATTGGTATGTCGGGCCATAACTGTAGCTCAAAGTGCCCCCCCTCCTCGCCCAACCCATCCATCACTGGCAACGCGCCTCCCCTTGGCAGGGCCCTGCTGCGCGCCGCCCGTCTCCGCCGGTGGCAAGGGAGTGGCGAAGGCCAGTTCGACAGAGTTCAGCTGTTCCGCCACCTGATTGGGTGGTTCTACAGGTTTTAGCAGTTTTCTTTTTCTGGGAGAAAAGTCTCGGATGTAACGGGATGGAGCTAAGAATAATAGGGATGTAACCAAGCAACAAAAAGGATCACCACAATTATGATGAAATGGTGAGATTCTGGAACATTGCCAATGAGATAGCATTGGGAGTAATTGATGAACCAGCCATTTTACAGGGATTCAACGAATATGCATTGGGATTAACTGATATCACCTTTCAATACTGTGACTTTAGGAGGGAATGGCAACCAACAAACATATGGGATTCTAACCAGAAAAACCTGAATTTAATGGCGACACAGTGATATAATATATATATATAAAATATAATATACATATGTGTATGGGTTTATCTTAAGATAAGGTACCGCCTTCCATCCATAGGTTATTAATCATTATCTTGCCTATGACATTGAGATCTGGGGATACGCCCCACTGTAAGACCGACTATTTGGAAACTACCAGCAGCATATATGGGATAATGTAGGGATGACCCAGCCATTTAATGATGATTTGAACATCAAAACGGGGTTGTAAGTACAACCTATCAGGATGAGATTAGTCACTTTGGAAAAACTGTGGGGATACATAAACCGTGCAAAATAACTAGAAATAATGAACTGGTTGGTGGTTTCAACCCCTCTGAAAAATATGAAAGTCAGTTGGGATTATTAATTGGGATGTTTATTCCCAATATATGGAAAAATAAAAGCCATGTTCCAAACCACCAACCAGTATATTATTCCAAGAAAGAACTATGGGATGTTGTGGGGATCTTGGGACCATGGCATGGTCACCACTACTGAAGAATCTAGGCGTGTCGCTGTTTAGAAAAACTTGGTGGCGAACTACCCGCAACTCGTTTACGTGGCTTCAAAACCCGGCAATTTCAGTGGATTGACCCGATTCATCCCACTCAAAAACTGGGATACAACCCACAAAAACGATGAACGTGGGAGGAGCCAGCAAGTGCCCACAACATTTTCTCTTTTAGTATCAAACCATCAGTTTCGGTATACAAGTTTGAGCCAACTCCCATGTTGGCTCATAATTTTCTAGGGAATATAGTAAGCACTGTCTGGGATATCCACAAATTGGCCATCACCATTATACTACTATAACACAAATATATCATGCTGACTTGCCGCTGGCTAGTGTGATAGAACCCTTGATGCTTTTTGGGTTTGGACCGCTGATTTCTTCATTATTAAGCTGATTCAAGGCCATTCAGGGATGATACCCTCTACTCATCATTGGTGCGGTGAAACTCAATCGCCACCCTCAGCGGCTTCCTCAGCAGGAGTCTTCCTCAGCAGGAGTGTTGAAAAAGTGTGATACCCTGCGGCAAAGTTGTTGACACTCGCAGCACATTGGCACATTGAGTTCCTGACTCTTGCGTGTAACTCCGTGTAACGTCATCAACATACCCGGTGCCAGACAGGCAAAGAGCAGACCCGCTGAAGATAAGGCAGGCAGCATCGTTCAAACAGCCTTGCAGATCGACAGCGGCCTTGGGGCGATCCGCTGTAACAGCGCATCACGGATGACCTGGCTTGGGTCATGTAATGAAGTCCACCAAAGGGTTGCAACGAAGGCGAAGATGTCAACGTGTTAGAATTGCCTGTCGGGGCTCGTTTCATGCCCATGCCTTATGATAAAATTTCACCTTTGGAGCACGGCACATTGATGGGATGAAGCGGAATCCTCCAGTCCCATGGCTGCCACCCGCCGCTGAAGCAGCTGCAAAGAAACGATTTGCGCTCCTTGTCTTCGCGGTGTTTCCACTGATATTGAGTCATAAATTACCCTCTGGTAATTTAACATAGCTCTTGATCGAAGGAAGTTTAGAAGTCAAACTTCCGACAATATGGACAGATGAAAAGCAGAGTAGGGCAGAGGCAGAGAGAAGAGAAAGATTAGAAGAGAGAAGAGTAGAAGAGAAAGAGTAAGAGGACAGAAGATACAGATGCGCGAAAAGGTAGGAAAGTCGCGATTCACTGTGTTTTTCCAATGATTTGTGGCTCCGGAGAGTCGAAAAGTAGGCTCGCTAAAGCGGCGGGTGCGGAGCTAGCTGGCCAGATGAGAGATGAAAAATTGCACGCCGTTGTGGCGCGAAGCACATTTCCAAGTCAAAATGTACAAAACACACCAGGTCCGGACCACTTTTGGAAGTTGACATGTCGAAAAAGTGTACGCCGTTGTGGCGCGAAGCACATTTCCAAGTCAAAATGTACAAAACGCCTCAGCGTCGGACCACTTTTGGAAGTTGAGATGTCAAAAAAGTGCACGCCGTTGCGAAGCACATTTCCAAGTCAAAAGTGTAAAAAACTGACGGTCTCGGACCACTTTTGGAGGTTCCGATGTGGAAAAAGTGTCGAAAAAGTGCACGCCGTTGTGGCGCGAAGCACATTTCGAAGTCAAAAGTGTAAAAAAACTGAGGGTTTTGAGCCTTTTTTGACGTGAAGATGTCGAAAAAGTAGACACTGATTAACTTAACTAACTTGACTAACTTAACTAACATCACTAACTTAACTACCCTAACCTCGACGACAACAGCAACAGCAACAGCAACAGCAACAGCAACAACAACAACAACAACTACAACTAGAACTGCAACTACAACAACTACAGCTACAACTACAACAACTACAACTACAACAACAACAGCAACAACAACAACAACTACTACTACTACAACTACAACTACAACTACACAACAACTACAACTAGAACTATAACAACTACAGCTACAACAACAACAACTACTACTACTACAACTACAACTGCAACTACAACAACAGCAACAACAACAACAACAACTACTACTACAGCTACAACGACAACAACAACTACACTACACAACAACAACCACACAACAACTACAGCTACAACAACAACAACAACAACTACAACTACAACTACAAACTACACAACAACTACAACTACAAAACAACTACAACTATATGACTGCAACTATACTACACTAATTACATTACACCACAACTACAACTCCACTACGCTACAACTACAACTACAGTTGCAGTACATCACACTACATCCAGCAGTTGTGGGTGAGGTGACCACTGCAACCATTGCAACCACTCCAGCAAACACAACTCCAACCATCTTTCGGTCAATCAGTGGATTCGCTCTGCCATCCCTGATTCACAACAACCAACTTCTCCTATAGGTTTTATATTCTGAGACTTCCGCCACCGCCTTGTGCGGTACTACTGGTAATGGCCCATTTAGTTCGTTGATGTTCGTTGATTTACCTATTAAAGATGGTGATTTTCCATAGTTGTGTAAAATTTTACCACAGGGTACATGTATCAAGGTGGCTACCCAGTTTTGAACCAATTGATCCAACATGTGCACCATGTCTATCGTCACACCTTGCAAGAACTCCATCAATTTTGAAACAACTTCCAAACAGTCTGAATACAGTAAGTTATCATTGATTTTATCACCCATAGGATCCATGTATGCTATATATGGTAACATTTACCATCAACATACCCCAAATGTTAGCATATATACCATACATGGATCCTGTGGGTCATGGATTACAATGTTACAATAATTCACTGACCAGAAAATTTTGGTCATGAATTAAGGGGTTTTCAGTACGTTGGCTACTTCATTGTGCATCCCAAGAATCGGACGTGGGTGGAACATCAGTCACGACTCGCGTCATTTAATACCTAAAGCACAGTATTTGATGATTCCGTTGCACAATTTCACCACGGAAACTCCCATGTTTTTCCCCATCAGATCAAAACCCTCCAGCAGTGGCCTTACAGGACTCCATATAAGGCTGAAGACTGTGGAATTTTATCTTGCATGCCTCCTCAGCCTTCTCTCCAAACTCAGCGGCCAGTTGCGGTGTTGGAAAGGAAGGGCCTATGTCGAATATGTGTGTGTATATATGTATATATGAGACATGTGGTATATTATGTTTTTCATTATTTATTTACATATGTATGATACTGTATGATTATATATGCATATGTGTGATTGTATAGATACATATATATATATGTATACAGTGATTTGAAGACTTTGGGACACAAATTCATCATTGCTGCCTTCCTTGTGGATCAAAAAAATTGTGAAACAATTCTGTCGGGTGAACATCCCCGACCGATTGTGCTTAGTGTTCCACCCCTCTTCGCCAGACGTGGATTCGACTTAACAATCAAGGGATACATCTTCGACTTTAACCATGGCAACCTCAACAAAATTGCAAAGTAACAAAGTAAAGTCCTGTGAAATAGTAGTAAATTACAGTTCCATGATTTTTTTTGCTGGTTACAATACCCCTAAGAGATTTGAGTGTCAGGCTTCCAAGCGCCTAACCACACGCTGTAGGGCCCCCCCGCTTTGTATCCGATGGGTGCACGAATACTGATCTTGCGAGCCATGGTCTTCTGAGACCAACTCAGCACCAAGTCCACCCTGAGGCGCGCGGGACTTGGTGCACACAACGAAAATTCCGCGTGTAAAACTGATGCTATTCGATATGTACTGGCTATATGTATATATGTATATATATATATGTATATTATCAGTATATATTATGTATATTTACATTACAATATCTACAGCATTAACTTATCAACAAACAGGACATCAGAACATACAATTTGCACGATTACTGAAGTGGATTTGGCCATCAAACATGGGGTTTTAACCTTCAAGTGACTACTGACCTTTATCTTATGGTTTGGGTAAGATTGGGCTCAGCGTATTCCTTGGAAGCGAAGTTCTGCAGACCGCCTGAGGCAAATGATCCGCAAACATTTTTTTTGGCAGTATGGGCCAAAATCTGAAACCTGCAAACCTTTACATGGCATGATTCTGAAACCTCTTCAGTGGTGTTGCCGCATTTCTTGATATTTATATATAATTATATATATATATATATACTCTTTGTCATTGTCTTTGAATCACACAAAAAACAAAAAGGCCGTCGGCATATTTGTCTGCACTGAGAATAAGGATTCTACTCTGATCCAAGGTGTGATTCTCTGCGCATCGTCACAAGTAGTGTGGAGGTTTTTTTGCTGGAAATCATCGAACTCAATGGAAACTGTTCCTTTGTCACGTTTGACGAAATGGCAAAAATCCAACTTGTGTGGCATTCTGATCCATACAGATACTTCTTGATGTTGTATCCCTCAAGCCGTTTGAAACACGGTCCCCTCTTCAACATTTCGACCATTGCGGTGTTGGGGGATGGATCCAGACAATTCCCATGGAGACCAAACAAATCCGTCTTTGAAGCTGAGAAGCTGCCCACGCTACTCACGTTACAAAAAAAACACACTTTTTTTTTTATCATTGGTACATGCTTGATCATCAGTAGTGACAATAATGATCACCCCGTCACGCTATGGAAAATCTCAGGTACCTGCCCACAAAAATCTACATTTTAGCTGGTGAATCTACATCTTATCACTGATAGCAACAGGCAATAAAGTACTAGTTAGTATCTAAACAGTCGGTTGACCCAGTTAATCAGCTTAGGATAATAATCCGACTACCAAATCAACAACCATCAAAAAAACAAAACACAACTATTATCATCAATCATCTAGCCTCTATTTTTAGATGATTTTCCCACATATAAATCTCTGTTTACCAGGGATTTTCCAGTTCGCTATGAAGCTGCGATCCCCCTGCGATCCCCCTGCGGCCGCCTATCTTCTGGCGTTGGCACCAGGCTTGGAGATGTTCGTGATACGGTGAACCTCAAGGGTCGATCCCCGGGCAGCGCGAAAACACGCCATGAATAGATGATATAAAACTCACCAAGTTATAAGAAAACCTATAGGAAAACCATAGGAAAATGGTGGTTTATAAAGACTTTTTATGGTGGTTTAATGGGATTTAATGGGATCATTATACCATCTGATTATTTAACATAGCCATGGAAAATCCCTTATAAATGGAGGTTTCTAGCTGGGAAAATCATCTGTAAATGGGCAATTTTCCATGGCTATGTTAAAAAAACAGAGGGTAATATCCATTATATGATTATGATGACAATATCATGACAATATATAAACATGTACAGATGATTACAATAGATTAATGTTACACTATTGACTATAAAGTATCCATATATTATATCATAAGATCCACGTTGTAATCATATTACCTTTTCATAGATTATATTCATTCAACTCAGTTGCGCACAAAATTATTGTTCACGGCTGACCTATAGTTGTTCCGCGATCTGCAGTTCCCTGCAACATATATATATAATATATATATATATGTAATATATATATATATATAATATATATATATATATATATATATATACATTAGATATAGCAACCTGCAATGCCAGTGGCTTGGTTCAAGGTAAGATTTACCATATCCCCCTTTTTTTGGAAGGGCAAAACCATGGATTCCCAGAGATTTCCCCCGCACATCAGCCATGACCCAGGTCCTGAGGTCTTAACTTGGTCGCCAACAAACCCACGATGTCTGGTTTGAAATAGCAAGCACTTTTGACATTAAATGTCCCTTTAAACCTTACATAGATAGCGATAGCAGCTGGATAGTACGGTATAAAAATAAGATTGGCAATTTAAAAATGGATGCGTGATCATTAATGTCATTTTTGAATCCCCCTTGATTGAAGGGTACGAACGCTTACCCCACCATTCCAAAAAAATCAAGGGGAATATTTTCGATTGAATGCCACGATTTTTTTTCAAGATTTTTCCTTCATGGTAAGACTGTCAGAAAATCATCTACCCTCTGGTGATCAAACATGGCAATTGAACATCCTCTATAAATGGAGGTTTGTATATTGTAAAATCATCGAACTAAATGGTGGATTTTCCAGCAAGCCATGTTTGAGGACACCGAAGGGGTTTCTCCAATAGCCCATCAATATTTCATGAAGATTCCATTTATATCAAGATGATCAAGTTCAATAGGGGTGACTTGAAATTGGGCATACCTCAACAAACATCATCTAAACTATTCACCGATATTCCACCAATATTCCATTAATATTCCACTACAGGATATTCCCATTATCCCACCAGTTTTGTTGGTGAAATGAAATCCAATTAGAGCACCATTTTATTCTCCATTCCTATGCATAACCAGTGAATCAGTTGAATAAGCACCAGTGAATTTAATGGTTGTGAGATACCGTGGCTGACTAGATTTTGGATTAGATGGCGAGCAGAACTTTCTGTAGATTCGAGCTTACTGTACCCTGCGTAGGACACCATGTGCAATTCGGTACGGTTTTCGGCTAGCAACACAATATTCCTGAACTTGTCCACCAGATGCCTATCTATAGATATCCCAACGGATTCAAGGCGTGATCCAAAGCGTCGTGCCAGTCAATGCAGATTCGGACGTTTAGCCAGCAGACCCTTCGGCAGTTTCGGGCGAGGGCTCTGTGAGCGGGTTGCTGGACCTGCGGTGTGGTGCAAGCCCTGAGCCGGAGCTGGGCCAAGAGGCAGCTGAGAGAAGAATTTGTTCGAAGACAAAGTAGCTAGGCGAGGAGTTGGCTCAGACAAGCGCTTGGGCCCTTGGGCTCAGAAAATAATTAGGTCAAAGCAGAGCCGCCTCAGAGAAGAAATGGCTCAGAGAAGCATTTGCTCAGAGAGAGGGTGCCTTAAAAGAGTTGCATCAGAGAAGCATTGGCCCAGCCAGAAGAAATGGTTCAGAGAAGAGCTAGCTCAGACTTCTTGTTGTTTTAGGGAAGAGGTAGCTTAGAGACAGTTAGAGTGTAAGAGAAAGGTTGGATTTTGTTTGAAATGATTCAATCGTTCAATTATGCAGCTTTTCAGGCCTTTGCTCAGCCATGCAAGAAGTCTATCAAAGAAACGCAGAGGTCAGTAAGCCACCCGCGCCGTCCCAGACGACCGATACGGCCTGCCTCACGCCTTGACCTCTCCGATGTGTCCAGTGGTGATGGACCCGGACTAGAACCAACTGTACGCCTTTTTACCTTTTCAATGCCTATTGGAGGTGCTTTGAATGGCTTTTCGGTTGATGGTGGTGTTGGGACTGGTCTATCGATTAGTATACCAATTAAGTTCCCACTATTCTCCATCGCCTTGGTCTGGGTGGTCTGGGCCGAAGTCAGTGGGTCATAGGAGACCGTCATGCCGCTCTCCTCATGCTTCCTCTTGAGGAAAGCTCGGAATTGTTGCAGGTCCACCTGTCGGAGTGTGTCTGCACCAACTGGGGTCTTGACCTCCTGAGCGCCTTGTTGCAGGGCTGTCAGAGCCTGAAGTTCGGAGTCCATGGAGATCTCTTCCTGTTTCTTCTAGTGCTCCAGGCGCTGCCTTTTGCTTTCTTGAGCTGCCTCAGTCAAGTCTTCCTCCTGTGTAGACAAAAGGTCCGCCTTGAACTTCACCATCTGGATGGTCTTGGGGTGGAAGATCACGGCTGACTGGGAGGCATCACGGTCTTCCAGTGTTGGGGGACGTTCTCCGTCGGGGTGGAAGATCTCATCCTTGCCAAAGGTCTCCACATGTTGGCGCAGCGTCAGCCGTTGCGAAGAAGGTACCTGTTCTGAGAAACTGACCAACTCCGTATCGGCTTTCGAAGTCAAAATGTACAAAACACACCCGGATCGGAGCACTTTTTGAAGTTGAGATGTCGAAAAAGTGCACATCGTTGTGGCGCGAAGCACATTTCCAAGTCTAAATGTGAAAAGCACAACATTCGGACCACTTTTGGACGTTCAGTTCAGATGTCGTTTTTCGCGTGGCAAGCACAAGGGATTGTGCACCTTGTCAAAAATCAGAAAGATGTGAAGGTTTTGTCGCAATTTCAACTACAACCACCATTGCACTACATAACGCTACACTACACTAATTAAATTACATTACACAACTACAACTACAAGTACGAGTGCTGGACCTTTCGCACCCCTTTTGACATGAAGTCACCCCACTGCAAGGCACAACGCGAAAAATAAAGTCACCCCACGAAATCAAGAAGTCACCCCACCATTGGCAAATCACCAAGGCACAACATGCCCAAAAGTTTAATCGAACTTTGTGATATCGGTCTAGAATCTCGTCGTGCCTTTGCATTATGCCAAATATACGTTCTCAAAATCAGCATTTATTGATCAACCGGCCATTGGCACAACAGGTTAGACAATCAAATCCTTTGAAGTTATTAAGGTATCTTTCTGTGCTCATTCAGAAGGGGTTACATACACTAGCCTAGCGACCTTATATTACATTGCACTGTAAGTTCCGACTGAAACATACTAAGCGTACACGCTAAATCTGCAGGAAATGGAAGCCTCAAATATTGTTGCCTATAGGGTATACCGCTGGTCCAAACTGGTCAAATGTGGCTTGTGTTTGTGTCAGGATGAGGGGAAAAAAAACGAGACCTAAAACGAGACCTCTGGGAGACAAAACGAGACCTATAGGTACTATAGGCACTCTACTCATGTGCTCTCCTCTCCTCTCCTTTCCTTTCCTCCCCTCTCCTGTCCTCTCCTCTCCTCTCCTCTCCTCTGCTGTAGATTCTCTACTTTACCCTACTCTTCTTTACTCGACTCTTCCCTACCCACCTCTACTCTATTCTACTCTTCTTTGCTCTGCTCCTCTCTACTCTTCTTTACTCTACTCTTCTCTACTTTGACTACAAGCCACATCATCGCAGTAAGGGGAATTCAAGTTTGAAGCCCTTTGCCCCATCTGTATAAGGCGTTCCTTCTTGCGCCATTAAAAGGATTCAAATTATTTTGCGTTTAGCGATCTTTTTGTCTGATGAAAGTGGGCAATCTATACACAAACGACCCTGCAGGCATAAGGATTCCCCAAATGAATCCCAGTCCCAGTCCAAAGCATCGTGCCACTGCGATTTGCATCAAAAACTCAACATGCCCAAAACATATGACTAATCTGGGATGAGGTGTCTAACAACACTTCCCATAGGCACGACGGTTGCGAGACGACTTCTCGTAAAGTGAGACGAGTAAGGTCTACTACCCAGTACAACTACACTACACTAATTACACTATACTACACACTACTCCACTTCACTACACTACACTCAGTTACACTACACTAAAGTGCACTACACTACACTACACTACACTACACTACACGACACGACATGACACGACGCGACACTAACTACAACGACAGCTACAGCTACAACTACGCTACTTTACACTTTGCTACACTAGACTACGCTACACTACGCTACACTAACCTAAATTACATTACACTACACTCATTACACCACCACAACTGCAACTGCAACTACCTTACACTACACCGCAACTACAACTCCACTACACTGCAACTACAACTATACAGCTGCACTACACCACACTACATCCAGCAAAGGTGGGCGAGGTAACCGACCAGGTGACAACTGCAACCATTGTAACCACTCGAAAAAACACAACTCCAACCACCTTTCAGTCCAGCAGTGGATTCGCTCTGCCATCCGTGATTCGCAACAACGACGCTCTCGTATAGGTTTCCTATTCGGAAATTTCCGCCATCGTCTTGTGCGGTAGTACTCTTATTCCATGAATTTTCCATGAATATCCACTATATCCCCATTAATATTCCATGAATTTTCCATGAATATCCACTACATCCCATATTGTCACGGTATACCCCCAATTGTAGCCATTCAATAGGGAAAATGATGATAATCCAATGGATTTAGGGGTACACTATGTTCAGACAAACCCATTCATAAAACTATTTCCATGATCCATATGTTATAAATCCGATTAATGGATATTAAGGTGAATTGTATACCCCATTCAATCCATTAATTTACATATATATATATATAATACATATGTATATATATATATATATTCAATTAATATCCATTAATTCAAGGGATATTTCCATTCATGTCCCAGTTATATATATATATATCCTTAAAAATAAAATCCCATTATCCCATTCATATTCCATGAATTTTCCATTAATATCCTCTATATTCGCATCAATGTTCCATGAAGATTCCATTCATATCCCACAAGGTGGTGCGCCCTGAGCTGTAAGTTCTTTTATAAACCATAGTAACTAGTTCGATATACTATAGCTACCATAAACCCGAGTGAAAGTGGAGTTATGTTCACCAACTTAGCAAAAGAACTGGGGCACCACCTTGCGAACTTGCATATCCCATTCATACCTTCACCAGTTCTCACGTCTCTGAGGCCCAACTCGGTGCACTTCTGACGCTCGCAGGGTAGCCACTTGTACTCTGGGATGCAGGTCTGGCCGGTGAGATCTACATGGGAAACTCGGAAAAATGGCCTATTTAGAATAGGTCAATCTGACCTAGGGTAAATCAACTACAGTTTATTTATAAGATATAGCTATATGTATTTATAGCTATTTACATCAGTTACATTGTATTATAGGTGATTATATATACACCCATTTTCAATAACTATTCCCTAGGAACTTAGACACAGATGTGGAAAACCCATGGGGAAACCGGGGAAATGAACTACAAATAGTTTCTGGTAATCTAGTATAGCTGTGGAACATGACCCGTTTGTAGATGATTTATCTATTGGGTAATGGTGGCTTTCTATTATGTTAGAATATCAGAAGGTGTAAATGCGATTGATGCCTATTGAAAAACAATTTGAGCTGGAAAACCACTCCCGTTGTAGTACCCTCCTTTAAACATACATAAATATGATAATATGCATAATATGCAGAAACTATCACAATCGGGGTTTACAAAAAGTGAAGATGCTGTTTGATGTGGCATCACATCCCGAATCCTGAGATGCACATCCAGTGGTTTCCAGTAGAAACCCGCACCCAAATCATCCAAAGTTAAGGCCATTTTAATGGAGGATCCTCAAATTGAGAGACAACATATCGGGATATTCATCAACAAGTATGGGGATACAACCATTATGACCATAAAAGTTGGCCAATTTTGACACGCTTGCCCAACGAATCTATAGACCTGGGCGGGCTGATTTCCATCTGGAACTCGACAAGTGGTTTGACAACTCCAAATTCGTCAAGGAATTCAGTGGATTTCCATGGTGAAAGCCGCTTGAAAATCAGTTCTTTGGATTTCACTTGGTAAACACTTCTTGATTTCCAGTGATTTCCACACACCATTTGCATCTTCACGTGGGATAAGCACTTGTGGTTTCAAACCACCGCCGGGATACACATCCAAGTAATCAACCATAGATGTTTCCTCGAAATATTGGGCTTAAGCGGAAAATTTTCCAAGCCAATTTTATGAAACTAGGGAATCAGAAAACAAACGCCATATATGAGACTTAACCAGCAAACGTTAAGAGCGAACAAGCCATCCAATCTGGATTATAATCTTTCCGAAATGACGCCATTTGGGCACGATGCCGTCCATGAAACACATTCCCCTTAACAAGATCTTAGCAGCGCACATCATCATCTTCCTGCTTCTGCAGCACCTGCGATCCAGTGACAAGGGCTGGAAAAGGTCTTTCTGGATGGGGTTCTACTTGGTTCTATATTTTTTACATGTGTATATATATATATATATTATATGTATGCTGTATACATATGCATCTCTACGTGTATGGATATATATCTATATATATTATTGTCTATCGATCGATCTATCGATCAAGGACCCCTGTCATCCAGCATTGTCCCAGGGCCGCCTTCTTCATAACTTTGAAGTGGCCTTTGCCACACACGGCGTCGCAAGGCGTCACCGGCTCCCATTTGTTGCTCAGCTCACACCTGACACGGCTTCTATGTCAAAAAGGGCGGAAAAAAGGAACGAAACGTGGTGGGACCACCAAAAAATGTATGTTGAATGGAGGTTTCCTAAAATGGGGGTACCCTTAAATCATCCACCGATTGCGGGTGGCCCCATTTATGGAAGCCCCCGTATCACCAAATTCAAACATATGGGTTTGGACGGACCGATCAGGGATGCCAATAGAGGGATGGAACCTGCTTCAGACACTGATTCAGTGGCCGCTACTATGGTGTAAATGGGACCTGCAAGCCAATAAACTCTTAGTAAACGTCAGGAACATAGGCTTTTACTATAACCTTGTACTCCGTCATCTGTTGTAGGCTCCATCGTTGATTTGGGTGTAACCCACGGAGGGCCCAACACTCGGTGAAGCCAACATCGCTGGGCAAACATGGAAAGGCGTGCAGATCTGCAAGAAGGTTCTCCAGCATGGTAACGAAGAGTTGCAGCCACGGGTACGGCACCCTGCCGACCTCGTCACCCTGCAGAACCTTTTTCATCCTTTTTGGAGCACCCTTCACATCGCATTCTGCTCGCCAGCAACTTTGCAAGTGGTCAGCATCAGGGAACATCCGTGGATTTGGGGGAACCCGTGTTTGGAAAATGCCCCGGTCTACGTCCTGGAAATGAAATGAAATGATATCAGTGTCAAAATGAAGAACAGTAAATTATCTGAACACTTTCAATTCGAGAATATTTTGCGATTTTGATACTGAATTCGACGGCAAGGGCTGATGATGACTGATGGGTGAGAAAATGGGAATGGAGAATGATGAGGTTTAAAGTTTTGAATGTATAGCACCCCCAAAATACATAGTAAAGTTGAACACCTGGAGTCCTGCATGTGGAAGCATCATCTATACATTCTCGAACAACCCCACGTGGCAACGGAAAATCATCCACAGTCATCTGGAGATTTCCCAGCCAAGTAGCTACCGAAGAGGGTATTAATCAGGTCATGAATATCCCATGAAGATTCTATAGTTTATCGTCATGAAATATCACCAGTTGGCAAAATCCTATTGAACCACCACTTTGTTGGATAAATCCCTTTGAATCACCATCATTGTTGGATAAATTAAATCACCATTTTGGAGCTTACTTCTTGTGCACATCCTGACGAACAACGCATTAAAACACCCCGCAGTTCTGCAGGTTCGCGCCTGGCTTCGCATGGCCTTAGCAAGGGCGACCCTAATTTCGGGTTCATGGGGGTCAGCGACAACTCTGAATCATGGTCATTATGGATCATCATCCAAAATATGTAAAACCAAGCAGGAAATATGACCATTATATGATCTAGTATGGTGTTTATTTCAATATTACTCAATAGGGATCAACCCCTCTGATCAACGTTTCGATTATGCTTGAGCACTAGACACTTTAAGAAATTACCAAGCAGTTTTGAATTGGAAGTTTCTATAGTGTGGGGGAGTGGGAGGATAATGTATGACAATGTTCATGATGATGCTAAACAAAAAATACCCCCAAGAACTTTTCCAGCAATCTGCAGGGTGTTGCAGTTCATGGATTGGTGTTATTTCTGGACCACAGGCGCTTAAACAGTTTCGCTACTGCATCAACGATTTCATGGCCAGTCGTAGGTACCATACAAGAAAAACTCGCTGGATACCCTCTGGTTATAGAATCGCTATGAACAATCAGCATATAAAATGGATAAAGCATCATTTTTTATCATCTATACATAGGCCATTTTCCATAGCTATGTTAAATAACCAGAGGGTAGTGGTAGTTCGCAACAGCCGGCAAAAAAAAAAAACTGCATCAAGCAAGCCATTTCTCAGGCTTTTCTCCCATTCATATCGCAGCAACATCCACATTTGTTTGTTGGCAACATCCCCATGATGCTGTTGGTTTGTTAACATGAAATGAATCACAACCCGAAATCATGCCGTTTGGGGGCAGTTACCCCTACGAATTATCATCGGTCAAGTGACTTCAAGTGAGGTTGCGGTAGTTCATGCACATAGTCTCATATATGTATTATTTTATTCTTATTTATTGGTTCAATCCCCACACATGTTGATGAATACGGCTATTACAGTTGACTCTTGGCAATATCCGGAAAATTCATGGGTTAAATCCAAAATTCGGCGAGTGTTTCATATCCCCAATGGGTGGAATTCAGCGCTATGGAAAAACTGGGCTTCCACTCTGAGTATTGCAAGGCTCCAACTGCTCTGAGTATTGATCCTCAGTTTTTTTGGGGGGGCACAGCAGGGAACTCTGGAAACATCATAGGAACTTGGGTCTGCAAGAGCTATAGAAGATGGTGCAGATGACGCTGAATAGGTGAATTCCAGGGTTTTTGGTCGCTAAATCGAACTAGTTTTCATGGCTTTATCAGGCAAGCAACAAACATAGCTGGGCACCCCCTTGCAGATAATCAACATTAAACCAACTGGAGAGTAAAGTCTTACAAGACTGTAGATAATAAAACTGTATAATCTCTGTATCATGCAATGATAATCACTGATAACAATGATGATCTAAGTGTAGTGAAGGAAATTTTCAGTCTCATAGTTTGAGGTTCCTGTTTTGTAATCGGCCCATATTAATAAGGACGATCCAAGTATAGTACACCGTACAACACAACAAGATAGACACATTTACAGCTATTCAGAACCCTTGTGGGGATTACTAAGTAGCCAAGTACAAGCACTGTAAATATCGATGGATGTGGGATCCACGAGAATCAACCCCAAGTTGGTTTCTGGAATGGCTTGCATTATGGGCTTTACTACAGGCGGTATTCTCAGGATGTCTAAATCAGCCTAAATCAATTTCTTTGATACCCATGTATTGCCAGTACATCCAAATTACTAGCCCCCAAGATCAAATTTGCAAGGAACACCAGCCATCTCTAATTGTTTTGCCAATCTTCATCCCCCATGTGGGCAAACAGAAATGATCTCAGTTCATCCAGAGATCTCGCCTTTAAAAACCCACCGTTTTCCCAAAAATCCTTGCCACTTGGAGGTCGTTCCTTCGCAATCTGCCCAATCTGCCCAGGCTCCCCCATCTGCGGACACAAGTGAAAGTTGTCCCCGTCAATGAAAAACCTGCGGCTGGGCCGTGGCTCAAACGATCAACTCTTCCGGGCCCCGGAACGTGTCGTCAAACGTAGCTGGAAGCTCCACCCGTTTAGTTCGATGATTTTGTCCATACGAAAGCTTCAATGTGAGGCCCCCAAGATAGCTAACTTGGTTTATAACTCCAATAACTATTGTTTATGGTATTTATAACTATAGTTACTGGGGCTTTAAAACCAACTTATATCTTGGGGGCCTCACATTGTTGGTTTAGTTCGGGGAAATTCCAGCTTGCCGCATTGGCACCGATGCTTTTAAAAGAGCAACGCAAAAGGCAGCTGGGGATTTGGGCGTAGAGGGTACCATAAATCCTACCGTCCTACCTCTTGAACTCCCTTCACAAAATGGTGGAGGTTACGAGCAAATTTAGATGATTTCACGATGAACCACTAGGTGCTTAAGTGAAATGGATATGAAGCCTTTGCAAATATAATTGCTGGTTGTTTGCCGATGTTCCTGGTAAAGCCATTTATGCCTCACCAGAAAGTTGGTCGTGACAATTACAACATCCATATGGATAGTAAGTATCACATCTTCCTTGGCATTCGACACTTCCCGGTGTTCAATAGGTCCAGCATCTACTTTCATGAAGATTGTCCATTGCTAGATGCTTCTATCCCCGACCCCAACTGGTTCAGGAGTAGGGGGGGTGGATCCTACATTTCTGATAATGTATGAACATAAGGGGGGGGTTGACCCCCTCACTTTTTGCCAAAAATGTATGGGAACTAGGGGGGGGTAACCCCTCAAAATGAGGCATGTATGAGTGCCAGATGCTGGAAATGTATTATTGGTAGGGGTATTGAACCTGAAAATGTATGCTTTGTGGGGGGCACCACTGACAAGAGCCAATGGATACATAAACTTTTCTAAATGTATGCAAGCATGGGGGGTCTGCACCTCAATTCAATTGATCTTTTTTTCCTCGGAAACCTACTGAAACCCATGGGCAAACCTGGGAATACCTGGGGTCACCGAAAATATTCTGCGCTGAAGACCCCGTTAGCTTACGCTTTTGGATTTTTTTTGGAAACAAACACATGCAAACATATGCAAACACGATCAAGCACGCATCGCTCCCACTCCGAAGACATGACACTATTTTCTGAAATGTATGCATTGCAGGGGGTACCAATGACTACCTTAGCCAGATCTATTCCCTCCATTTTCCAAAAATGATGTGCTTTTCGGCTACCCAACCCCCTTAAAATACATTTTTCAAAGAAGGGTATTCCCCAGAAAAAAAATAAACATTCCCGGGGATCCTGGAAAAACCAAACCTGTAAAATGTATTAAACCACCCCCCCAAAATAAAAGATCCTGGGAGGGGTTGGATATCCCGACCCATGGATCCTACATTTAACCTACACCCACCGGTCAAATAATGTATTTAGGGGGGGTCCTGGGGAATCAAATTCTTGGAGAACGGTAAATGTATTTTTTTTACCTGACCTCTCCCCCCCTAAAATACATTTTTAGGGGTGGGTGATATGCTTCTGCAACGTGAGACACACAGCAATTTAGTGAATATACATATCCAAGGATTTTCTAAAGGTCTTTTCTCTGGGGTGGTCCAGATATCTCCTCTTGGGAAAAAATGGATTCAGAGCTTTGAGGCCTGTTAGAGTGGTACGATACAAAGTCCATCCAATTTGAGGTCGTTGCAAGAGGACAGTGTCAATACTTTTTGGGCTTCAGGTGGTGATCTTCAAAAATCTCTTCATCGGCAAGCGCTGATCCCTCACAACTGCAGTGAACGAATGCGGTGCTGGCCTTCCCAAACTGTAGAAACTGCTCGGAAACTGAACGAAAGGTTGTTTCTGCCTTTTGTATTTTGCCAAGCAACTGCTCCCCGTTGAGGATCCGCA